GTCCATCAGAAATCAATATTGAAGATAACAAACCTCTATGGAGTTATGTTACAAAAATAGGTAAACATCAGAAGGGGGAGGGGCAATATTGCATTCAAATGCAATTTTTGTAATGCAACATACAAAGGATCATATTATAGAGTGAAAGCTCATTTGTTGAAGATTAGTGGTCATGGAATCAAAGTTTGCCCAAAGATAACCTCATCACAAATGGCTGAATCAAAGTTTGTCATAACCATCGAATCATTAATCTCCCCTTTTTTTGGTTTGACTTTCGGTTCGTTTTTATAACCTTACATGATACACGCACCCATCCTCTTACTAAAATCCATGGCCTCTAATGACAGGGGGATCATGGTACCAACCATCAAGCCACGGAGCAGAGCGGAGACTAGTCAATAGCACTCATATCATTAGGGAAAGCAAGCTCTCAAATCAAGCATCCAGTAGTCCATCTAAAATGACAGTTGTACGGACAACATCAGCAAAACAACATACTTTTTAGTTATAAAGAATAGGATGAAAGGATCTGCGGCTGAGTTTACAAATGACTTCAACAGTTTAGTTAAGGAAAATATATATGTTCGGCCTGGATGCTAAGAATTTATTGTAAATGAAATGAAAAACAGGGTAAAAAACTAAAAGTAAATGGCTACAGATTTATTACCAAAAACAAATTGCTCTTTACATTCATAAGTCCAGAAAAAATATCTGAGAGGAAAAAGGGTTAATGATGTTAATTACATATATTCCCACGACATATATAAAATAAAGGTCCTCTCGCTGCCACTGGGACTGGGCTTGGGACCCCATCATAATAATATAATAAACATAAAGTTCTCTTAAATAAGACTAGCACATTTGAGATGAGTTTTTTTCAACCAAGTCTAACAGGATAAAAACTAATGAAAAGTAAAACAATTCTGCAGAACTGAGCCCTCAAAGTTTAAACCCCTAACAAGACTTAGTCAAACAGCTAGAATATTTATCAAACACAGCAACAATATCAACAATTCCTTGCAATTCCATACCTTAGAAATGGTTATATATATATATATATATATATATATGCACACATATAGATTATGGAAGGTTGAAGCTATTATTTCAACAAAGCATAAAATACAGGTAACAATAAGATTCGAAGATTAAATAAAAGAAAATCTATCCAAACACAAGGAAAATAAGACGCAGAAATTGGATAGTGAGTTTCATTAAATTTGAAATATGATTCATTCCATCAAGCATAACACCATACCTTTGGTGGCTTGAAGGGATAATCCGGTGGGAAATGAATGTAAAGGTAACAATAAGATTCGAAGATTAAATAAAAGAAAATCTATCCAAACACAAGGAAAATAAGACGCAGAAATTGGATAGTGAGTTTCATTAAATTTGAAATATGATTCATTCCATCAAGCATAACACCATACCTTTGGTGGCTTGAAGGGATAATCCGGTGGGAAATGAATGTTCACTAAATAAACGCCTCCAGCATAAGGACTATCAGGTGGCCCCATTATAGTAGCTTGCCAATGGAACATATCTTCACCCAAGGGACCTGATATAATTTTAAATTGTAAATTGCAATTTTTGAAATATATATATATATACTTTTTATGATGAGAATACAACAAAAGGAAGTTAATAAACTCAATTTAAATGTAAATCATAAGCTAATAATAAATTCAAGGAATGTGCACAAGTTGTGATTGTTTATTTACGCTTAAGATTACCAAAACCGTCACAACTTTCCAAAACACTGTAATAAACTCATTTAATATTGATTCCTAATTGCACCACCAAAGTAGTCTCATTCTTATATTACCAAGCATACTTTAAAAAACAATTCTTTTGGGGGCTATTTGGTTTGCTATAAACAGAATGCATAATAAAATGAAACATAGAGTGAAAGGAATATCATGTATTTGAAATATTTGAAAATATTTGGATATGTAAAGTAAATGCATGGTATTGTATATTTTTATTTGATTTGAAGTAAATTGAATGCAGTGTAAACCCCAACTATGGTGGTGGCTGGTGGTGGGGATAATGGAGGTGGAGAAGGCAAGCGGTGGTGGAGGTCGATGGCAATCAATGGCAACAACAAGTAGTGACTGACATCAGTGTATTGTAGGCTATGGCATTAGGGGGGGCTGGCGGTGAAACCACAGAGTCAGCTTGTGTTGTATTTGGATATTAGCCAAAAAATGGTCATGTTTAGAATACATCAAATAAAATGCAGAGTAAACTTGGAATTCACCTTTGTCAAACCAAACACTCAAATTTCTAAAACACTTGAATATGAAATATTTTACACTCACTTTTCATCAAACCAAAGAGCCCCTTAAACACAATACTTTACACAATCCATGATAAATATGAGAATCTTCCCTTTTTGAAGGCACGTCTATCTAACTCACTTAAACTATAATTTAAGCTTGAACCCAAAAATGGCACATTCACAAATTTATTTAAGAGAATTAAGTTAAGTATTTGTCATCGGAAACATCATCATCGTCCTTAACCTTATCCTAACTATTATGAGTTCCAAAATTTTATTTCTCAGGCTCTATTGAGAGACTTTTGTGTGTTCCAGATCTAAATTTTTAGTAGGCATATTGGAATGTAAATAAGACACTATTCATAGATTTTTGCCCTTACTTTACAAGGACTTTAGGATACTACTCTAGGTATCCCATAGGCGTGAGACTCTATTGTTAATTACCCCTCTCACTGATGACACAGAACTTTCAATTAAGCCTACTCATTAGATAGGCACAAAGCTCTTAACATATGGTAGAACCAATTTTGATTTAGAATTGAAACATTACCACTTTAAACTTTAAGTGGATAGTAGAGTGAATAATAATGAAACTAATCAAGATGTCATGATTCCATGATGAGTTGTCATGAGCCCTATCTATTTAACCTAAGAAGGTAGTTGAACACACTTAACCAAATGATCCTTATCCATAGTTATAGCTTGTTTCGTCAAGGGGACCTTAACATATGGTAGAACCAATTTTGATTTAGAATTTAAGTCAACATCAACTAACATAAGGCTTTATTTCCTATATAGTACACCCTATGATTCACTACTAAAAATTTAGTAATTGAGGACCTTACAGTCTCTAACCATGAACATAATTTAACAGAGTCATGTTGCAACAAATCCACCAAATCAGAGTGCCCCGATCATAATTGTTTACATATGATACCATTAATAGTAAAACCACAAATTAGAAAATATGTGGCACATTCTTACTGATGAGAGAACATTTGAGACTGCATCATAAAGGCATTTACTCTTTGTGAGCATATGTTATTCTTGAATTTATAACTCCCAATAAACAACTACAAATGGTGGATGTATTTTTCTTAGGTTGTAATGGGTGGATTTCACTTAAATATTTCAATATTTGTATTTTTAATATTTCATATTTATTCTAGATTTACCCTCGAGATCTACATTAGGATTTAGAGGGGCATTTTGAATGATGTACTTCCCTATGTTAGATATTTTCTATCATCGCTATCATCATTGAGATATTTGAATGATTTTGTTTTGTTACTTTAACATTACCAACTCTACTTGCTTGCTAACAAAGGATTGAGTTTAAGTATTAACTTTGTAAGCTACCATACAAGTGGTGAACCTAAGAGTTTGAATTTTTTTTTAATGAATTTTCTTTGAGACACTAAAGACCTAATATGACACTAAAGAAAAGTCAGCAATTTGCGATGGATTTGCGGCAAACTTTGTGACGGAAAATTTTTTCTCTGAAATTGCGGCGGATTTACAACAAAAATTTCCGTCGTTTATTTGGTGACTGATTTGTGGCGGATTTGCAACAAAGTGTCTGCCACAATTTTTTGACGAATTTTCTGCCGCATATCCATCACAAACCTCTATCTAAACTGACATCCTAACCATTTCTTTCATCCGTTCGTTCTCGTTTTGTTCTACTGGATCGTGCCCGTCACATTCATTCAACGACGTTTCCCTGTGTCATCGTCTCCTTCGACAACATTCCTTCAATTCCTCGTCGTTCTTCGTCACACTTCCTCTTCATCCTTCATCTTTGTAGCCATCATCTGCCCTCTCACTGCAAGTTGCTCGCCTCCTTTGACAATGTTCCTTCCTATCACCTCCTTCAACGACATTCCTTCCAGTCGTCCTGTTCGAAGACATCCCTTCCTGTCGCATCCACCGCTCTCATTGGACACTTCCTTGTCGCCGTCTCCTTCCATGATATTCAACCTATAGCATATGATTGGTTCTTGCTGAAAAGATAATCTTCCTTCTATTTCATGAGTGTATATTATTCATAATTTAGGGTTAATTAGGAGATGCATGAAGATTGTTCATAGTTTAGGGCTTTTGTGAGATTGAAAAGTTTGCCTCAAATTTTAGGAAGAAATATATAAGATGGTGGTGAAACATGCAATGCTTTATGGTGTAGAATGTTGGTCATTAAAAGAGTTAAGTGATGCAAAGTTGAGGATGCTTAGGTGGATGGTGGCTTTACTCTTAGAGTCTATTGTTCATGTTAATGGTGTAATGGATGGAGATATTATTAGCAGAATTCATGTTAGATGGTTGAGAGGAATGCATCAGACTTATTGTGTGATAGAAAAATTTCCCTCAAACTTAAGAGAAAATTCTATAAGATGGTGATGAAACCTGCAATTGATATTCAACCTATAGCATATGATCGGTTCTTGCTGAAAAGATAATCTTCCCTCCATTTCATGAGTGTCTATTGTTCATAATTTAGGGTTAATTAGGAGATGCATGAAGATTTTTCATAGTTTAGGGCTTTTGTGAGATTGAAAAGTTTGCCTCTAATTTTAGGAAGAAATATATAAGATGGTGGTGAAACCTGCAATGCTTTATGGTGTAGAATGTTGGTCATTAAAAGAGTTAAGTGATGCAAAGTTGAGGATGCTTAGGTGGATGAGTGGCTTTACTCTTAGAGTCTATTGTTCATGTTAATGGTGTAATGGATTGAGATATTATTAGTATAATTCATGTTAGATGGTTGAGAGGAATGCATCAGACTTATTGTGTGATAGAAAAGTTTCCCTCAAACTTAAGAGAAAATTATATAAGATGGTGATGAGACCTGAGATGCTTTATGGTATAGAATGTTGGTCATTAAAAAAGAATCATAATAAAAGTTAAGTGATGCAGAGATGATGATGCTTAGGTGGATGAGTGACTTTACTCTTAGAGTATATTCTTCATGGTGATGGTATAATGGATAAAGATATTATTAGCAGAATTCATGTTGGATTGTTGAGAGGAATGCATTAGAACTATTGTGTGATAGAAAAGTTCCCCTCAAACTTAAGAGAAAATTAAATAAAATGGTGGTGAGACCTGCAATGCTTTATGGTGTAGAATGTTGGCCATTAAAAGAGATGCATAATAATAAGTTAAGTGTTACGGAGATGAGATGCTTAGGTTGATGAGTGGCTTTACTCTAAGAGACAGGATACAAAATAAGCATATACGTGAAAAAGTTATAGTAGCTCCAATGGAAGATAAGATTAGCAGAGTAGCTTTAGATGGCTTAGTCACATAAATGGTGACCTTCGGATGACCCGGTTGGGAAAGTAGAAGTATTAGTGTGTTGCACTAATTGACACGCACTCTTTTATTGCCAAATATATAATGTGTGTGTGATGGTGGCGCACAAATATACATGCAAAAACCTAAAATCATCACTATTGCATAATTATTTAATTTTTTTAAATTGATACAAATCTTATTGATTGGTTGTAGAAATTTATAGCCCAAGGGTGTTATGGATATTCGAAACTATAGAAGTTGTATGTATAACCGACTACTATCTGGATGCAAGACATTAACAGATGAATTTCTAAACATAGTGAATTATTTTATTCAGGAAGGCTGTCAATTACCTTTCTTTACATCAGAGGGAATGTTTCATTGTCCATATTTTAAAAACAAAAATCAAGTCTATCTCACACCATATGAGATTACTGTTAATTTATATCGCACGGGATTCATGCAAGAATATTTATATTGGACTTCACATGTTGAGTACGAGTCTCATTTTGACTCTCAATGCGGCTCGTCTATAAGTTCCAACATAGTTGAGGATGACAGAGTTATGACGTTTGAGGACTTAGTTTATGATGCAACTTGGCTACAATTTCAATAATATACAAAAAAAATCCCCAAATAAGAAGGCACAAAACTTTTATAATTTGTTACACGTTGCGCAACAACCAATTTGAAATGGGTGCACAACTCACTCAGAATTATATGTTGTTGTGAAGATTTAAAGCATAAAGACTTAATATAATGTATCCAAAGAATGATTTAATCAATTCATTGACTTACTTAAGAAGATCAACCCGGCAGATAATATAATTCCAACATATTAATATCGGATTAAAAAATTAGTTTCCAAACTTGCTTTAACAGATATTAAAATAAACTATTGTGTTAATGGATGTGTTTTGTATTATGGGGATACTTTGTTAGAGATTGCATGTTATCATTATAGCGCGCCAAGTATTAAACCA